GCCCGGGCTCGCCCTGACCCATCCCGACCCACCCTGCCCCGTCCTGTCCCCGCCCTGCCCTGCCCTGCCCCGCCCCGGGCTCTCTCTGGCTCGTCCCTGCCTTGCCCTGATCCTGTCCTGCCCCGACTTGACCCACCGTGACCCACCCCTGTCCCACCCTGACCCGTGCCGACCCGCCCTGCCCCTCCGTGACCCGCCGTGACCCGTCCTGACCCGCCCTGACACTCCCAAAGCTGATGACCTGCTGAGATCCAGGGGCAGGAAGCAGAACCCGTGATCCAACAGCGCTGGCTGGGCACGAGTCCGAAATGTGCGCGTTGTTTGATCCCACCGGTATAGATAGGTCAGACGACAACGGTCAGGTAGGATAAATCTGACATGGGGCGGGTGTGGGCTGAGTGATTGGTGCCTTCGGCTATCACGTTGGGGGGATCTAGGTTCAAATCTCTGTTGCGTCACAGCGCCTACAGCTCGCATGTTGGGTCCGGGTTCAGATCTCGGTTATGCCATGTCCCCTTAGCGCTAATAAGGCTTCAACAGTCACTGACGCCCCGCAAAAGGTGGCCAGACGACGTGCGTCGGTTCCCCCTTTCTTTAAAAGGGCAGCCGTATGTAATGCAGCGTGGCGCCTGGTATGAACACATGAGACTTGCTCACACCTTGGCAGGTCAGTATGGCTACAACGATTCAAGGCCAAAATATGTGACAAGCAGAAACCAGGCTAGCTCTATAACAGATTCATACCTGGAGGTGGACGTAACGAGCCCTGCTCACGACTCGGCGCCAAGCCGGGGTAAATGCATCCGGGACAAATGTCGAGGTGTTGTAGCACTGGGATTGGGCTGGCTTTAGTGTAAAGAGATCGCGACAGTGTGCAGACAGAGGGCTGCCAGCTGCCAGACAGCGCCGTAGCTGATCTGATCTTATGTGGTGTCTGACCTGATCTGATGTGGCTGATCTGATCCGATGTGGTGTCTGATCTGATCTGATGTGGTTGCCGATCTGATGTGGTGTCTGACCTGATCTGGTGTGGTGTCTGACCTGATCTGATGTGGTGTTTGACCTAATCCGATTTAGTGTCTGACCTGATCTGATGTGGTGTCTGACCTGATCTCATGTGGTGTATGCCCAGATTTCTGGTCCCATGCCAGTCCCGGCTGAGTTGAACTCATTGAGGAACATTGTAGCAAAGCTGGCTGGTTGTAGCGTCATAGAAGATAGCAGACTTTTAAACTGCTGGATCATTCACCGGCTGGGATAACTTTATAATGGCGTCTTACGATAGACGGCTAAAAGATATCTGCTAAACTGCTAGTTTTATTTTTTAGTTCAGTTAAGTAAAAAAGACTGCTAAAAGATAAAAGATAAGAGTGTAAAGCCTGTGTGTATGCATTTTCCGCAGAGAAAAACACGGATGTTGTCGACTCGGGATGCTGCGACCCGCCTACCTCTCATGCAAGAGTTGTCTCGAATTATAAAAGAAATTCCACCGCATGATACACAGAGACCAAAACAGTCCACTCACTTTCCGAGCGCTCGGCAAACGAAGCGCGCCCACGCGACGTATATCAACAGTGCTTTGGCCCAGTTATGCAGGAGATCGATCACGGCAGCCCGGCGTTACGTGCCTGCCCGGGTGTCTGTGGTGGGTGGTGGGGTCGTTTTCACTCCCCGAGGCGTCGCGCTGTGGCCGTGACGATCTTCGCTTTTTGTGACGACCAAAAACCCCTCAGCTGAGAGATAATGAAATTCTGAAAGTGTGCAAAACATTCCTCGCGTCCAGTTCGACCGAAGGCCACTGGATCTCTGAACTGAGGGACCTGAGAAGAGTACCTACAATTGATGGAGTTAATGAGCTTGCAGGCTATTTTTAAGTATTGATCAAACGCCCGACACCAGAAACGCTGACACTTTAATTAATTTTACGGCCATGGAAGTAGCCTAAATCTGTCATCGTCCAGTAAAGCTAGGCAGCTCTCAGGCCACCCTTGCATGTGGTGTTAGGTTTAAAACACGATAGGCACTCGTGCAAATCTGGACCACAAGGTGCTTCGAGTGTGCTCACATTGAGGTCTCCGAAGCACATCGGTGGGTCAGGATGTAAGGGCAGCCATTTCCCGCTGGCGTAAGATTGTATACGACACGCTATTCTGGCATCAGGGTGCGTAGTTAATGCACGGATCCGATTATGTATCTGGCTATATCAGCTGTCTTTTACGTGGCTTAATGCGTGAAATAATACAGCACATCATTCAGCTTACTAGGTGCATGTTCATAAATGACGCGTCATTTTGTTTACTACCCCCTCGATTGAACACTCCAGAGGTTCAGATGACTAGCCAGAACGAGCAGAACTAGAGCCTTACACAGTGCCGTTAGAGCGGTTGAACGAGTCCCAGATTGCGCTGGTACAGCACCAGTTATCGCAGGCTGATACGGAGGCTGACTCTGTTTGGATTACCCGGCTGCATAGTGGCCTATTGTTGCGAGGCTGATCAAAATGGCGTAACTAAACTCTCCTAATAACTTTCCTCTATTTGCGTCTCAGTGCTGCGATAGGTGGTACTTTACTGTGACGCATTCACTCACATTCCCGATGCCTTACCATGGTGTGGAGGATGGGGCAACAGAGTGGTGGGCGACGGGACACGCCTGAAAATCGGCGATCCGCCGCCGGCGTCTCACAAATGTTCGACGTTAACCCTGTGGTGGTGCAAGGGCAGGCTCGACACTGAGCTGGGGTCGATCCCCTCTCTGTTTGTGGCGTTCCTGTGTCCCTGATTGGCCAGCCCGTCCGTTCATTTCTTGAGAGGTGGTACGCTTAAGTAGCGGAGAAGTAGTGCGCTAAATACATTAAGATCTTTCAAATGACCAATAACTTTTTCTCTTATGAATAGGTTTGGAATTGTTCTGAACATCGTTCTTGTCGTTGTTCTCGTTAATGTTCTTCAGCACTTGGAGGTGTTGTCGAACTTCTCTTAAATGCTGGGATGATCAGGACGGGAGTTTTAAGGTAAGACTAGCATATTCGGCGATTGCTTGACATTTCTGAAGATTTCCCTCTCGGAAAGCATGCGAAATGGAGCTCACATATGTTTTAGGAAATGTATTTTACGCGACGCTCTGTGGTCACGAAGATGGGATGCTCATTTGTTGAATGAGCTCTCTCAACTGTTGGTAAGCTTTCCTTCGCTGCATTCGTACTTATTCATTTATAAAGATCGCATCTTTGCACAATACAGCGCGCTGTGAAACGAGACGAAGCATTTGTCATAAGTTTTCCAAATGGGATATACAGACTGAGATGTCCTAGATGTAGGGAGTAGGTAGAGCAGTGGTTAAGCTACGCGTCTGGGAAACCACGGGTGCGGGGGTCGATTCCTCGTGGTGCCTATCTTTCCTGCCAGGATGGGAGACAGGCGATGCCTTATAGCCTTTGCAGCTGAGTGCGTCGTAAAACCCCCCCAAACCCACCCCCTAATGTACCCAACGGGTGTATGCACTCGAAACATCACATGCTAACTAAACCATCATGTAGTAATACCTGTTCCGAACGTTTACGGTGAGTTCATATGAGGCACGTAAGGCCAATGCATTGACCCGTACAGCCTCAGGCCGGAGTAAACGACCTTTTGACCTCGAGACGCCATGACTAGCCGCGGCTTGGAATGCATGCCGTCCACTTTGAATGTGAATAACGAGGACGGGGGAAAACAAGTGCGGGGAACGAGGTTCCAACAAAGCGGCAGGAACTCAACAGAGCTGTGGCGGAGGTCGATGCCCCGGATGCTCACTCCCCCCCCCCCCCCCCCCCGTCCCGAATTTACATCGGGTCTTCGGCGACAGTGCCAGTGGCTTGACAATGCTGAAACTGCTGTAATGAATGCCTACCTGTTCTTACGGATCCTGGGATACTCACGGCTGATGTATGGCACGCAGTGGCGTTGACGCTGCTGCATAATTTGGTGATTTAATTAGATATGTGCCGTGTTTAATAGCAGTCACGATGTCTGAAGGCTGGCTCGCAACGATCATGTAAGACGAAGATTCTCCAAGTTTTGTCTAACCACGATGTTCTACGATCTGGTCTGTGACAGCTTTTCGCGTTCCATTGAATTGCAAGCCTTTTTGTTGTGGTACGCTACAATTTAAAGTTATGCCACCTTGTCACGCAAAAACTTCCGTTGCGAAGTCCTTCCATGTCCGTACTTCATAATGTGTGTACCATTCTGCTAGTTTGCTGTATTGCAACAACGATCCCACATAGCTCAGCGTAAGCGCAACGCACCATACCCGTAACTACACGAAATGTAATGTTCTAAAGCAGCGAACTTACGAGACGGCCCAGTCGCAGCGCCGCATGCGTGCCTCCGTTATACTGCCCGGCTCCGTGCCATTCTGAGCCATCCGTTACACTAGTTCCGTAGGCTTCTGATGACCATTGATTCATTGATCCATGAATCACCATTGGCGCGGCGGAACAGCCCGTCTTTAAAGGGCCGCTGGACCGTGCAGGCCGGACGGAACCCAAGAATGCCCTACCCATCAACCGCGCTTGGGGTTTTAACAGCCGCGACCTCCTGCGTGTCCGGGAACAACGAATGCTAATCAGGCAGAAAACTGACTGGCTTTCATCGTACAGAGTGTACGAGAAACCACGTTCTTGAGAAAGTCTATCGTGACTTTGTGTGGGAGGAGTCGGCGACCACGCATCACGAACTGCTACGTGCGTGGTCTTCGCTGCCTGCGTGACCGAGGGTTTGATCACACAGATAGACAGCGCATTTGCTTTCGTTTACACCTCCCACCAACGCGTGGGCAGAGAAATTATCCTATTTCTGCTTTTATAGAACCACGATGGGACATTATAGTTCTGCCCAAATGCTTGAATTATCCGAAAATCTCAAATTGGGTTTTGAAGTGCACTTGCAACTCAAGTGATGGTTCTGCATGCGGCAAGTGAATGTATCAGTGTTAACGGCAGCTCCCTTGTGTTCCAGGCAACAGAGAGCCGACGGAGACAAGACTGCGACTCGAGCCCTCATCACACTCTGCTAACGTCCCTGGGAAACTTGTCTTCGCGGCTCACCGCATCGCCAACCGACCCTGACTCGAACCATGACCAGCTCGTGACTCCCGTGACCAGCTCGTGACTCTCACGACAGGCCCGTGACTCGCGAGCGACTCGGTGATCGTCTTCTGCCTGGATGGGGTTCGGTCGCGAGAGACAGTGGCGGCCCGGGCGCCGCTGGGCCGCGCCGGAGGTCGGCGAGCCGCTGGCCGACTCGCCGCCGCCGCCGCCGGAAGTGGTGTCAATGTGCGGCTGCGTGTCATCGAGAGATCGAGGCGTCACCCAGCGGACCGACCGGCTGCCTCGATCGAGGCGCGAGCACGGCGGTGGGACTCGACGTGTGACGGACCCACGCGGGTCGGACGCGCCACCCGCAACCCTCAACCAGTGCCAAAGTCTTGCGGTGTCGAAGCCGTTGAACACGTGCTGCCACCTGTGGACGACACTTGCGTTAGTGTTCGCGGTGCTAGTGGCGCCAGTGTGCTCCAACGTGCCGCCTCGATTTGTGCTGGATGGTCAGAGTGAGATCGTTCTGAGACTGAGGGAGGGATCACAGACGCCCGTTGGTGAGTACTTACCCCATTTCTCTTAGTATTTACTCCCTTACTACTTACTTACTTCCAACTGGCGTTAGGAGTAAGTCCTGAAGGGTCAGTCTCCATTTCGTGCATGACGCTGCTCAAAAGCGAGACATGAAGGCCAGCCAATGTTATCTTGATGTACATGCATGAAGCTCTTGTTCGCATATCAGTGGTAATGAAGCTGCTCCAGAAGCGAAGCACGGCCTTGCTCAGCACGTTTGGTATTCATAACGGTTGGAATACACGGCATGCCAGATTTCGCACCGGCCACGCCAACTTCCCTCAATCTGAGCAAACTGTTGAATGCTCAGCAGCTTTGCAGCAAAAAGCTTCGTCAGTTTTCACCCGCCCACGCTTGTATCACAAAATTATCCATTGTGATGGAATGGCAAGTCTCACAAATGCTCATTTATCCAGTTTTGCGTTACATGCTGTATTAATGCTCAACCTAGGAGATGCTATATAAGTCAACCACTCCAGCTTTTCACACAACTCCATCTAAATTGTATTACAATTCCAGCAGATCATTCCCAGAACACATCACACAATAGTGACTGAGCAACACCACGCTACGATACACGCCTGATGTTCCACAAAACACAGCCTGATGCCGCCACCTTAAACTCCAATCAGACGTCCCATCACCTGCTTGACCCGGCTGCGCCCCCTCAGGCAGCGTCATCTACCGGCTGCGGGGTTATGACCCGGACGGCGACCGGCTGCGGTTCGCCGTGCGAGGTCAGGTCGGGTCGCGGCTGCTGGAGATCCGCCCTGTCAGCGACACCGAGGCGGACCTGGTGCTCCGGCGAGCTCTCGACCGCGAGGTCAGCACAGAGGTCACACGGCCGGCTGTGTCGGGTCACGTCTCGAGGTCACCCGAGGTCACCCGGCATGCCAGCTGCTGTGTCGGAACGTGTGTATGACAGATGCGTATGTCAGGTGTCGGTCCGTTCCGTCCGCAATTCTGTATGCGTGTCTGCGCACGCTTCTGCGCGGGATTGTTGTGCTGGCGCTCCTGTATCGTGTCTTTGTGTCGTCTCTCGCGTCCCTGTACTCTATATCATTGCCCGCATTTTTCTGCATACATCCGCATCTTATTTGCAGTTTATAGACTTTGCGTCGTGTGTGGTGTTTCTTCGTTCTACAACATGTACACGAATGCAATGCAAAACACACACACACACACACACACACACACACACACACACACACACACACACACACACACACACACACACACACACACACACACACACACACACACACACAACACACACACCCACACACACCACACACACAGATGCGAGAGAGAGAAACGAGAGAGAGAGAGAGAAGAGAGAGAGAGAGAGAGAGACGAGAGAGAGAGAGAGAGATGGGAGAGAGAGAGAGAGAGAGATAGAGAGAGAGAGAGAGAAGAGGAGAGAGGAGAGAGAGAGAGAGGAAAGAGGAGAGAGAGAGAGAGAGAGAGAGAGAGAGAGAGAGAGAGAGAGAGAGAGAGAGAGAGAGAGAGAGAGAGAGAGAGAGAGAGAGAGAGAGAGAGAGAGAGAGAGAGAGAGAGAGAGAGAGAGAGAGAGAGAGAGAGAGAGAGAGAAGAGAGAGAGAGAGAGAGAGAGAGAGAGAGAGAGAGAGAGAGAGAGAGAGAGAGAGAGAGAGAGAGGAGAGAGAGAGAGAGAGAGAGAGAGGAGAGAGAGAGAGAGAGAGAGAGAGAGAGAGAGAGAGAGAGAGAGAGAGAGGAGAGAGAGAGAGGAGAGAGAGAGAGAGAGAGAGAGAAGAGAGAGAGAGAGAGAGAGGGTATATATATGTGTGTGTGTGTGTGTGTGTGTGTGTGCATGTGCGAGTGTGTGTGCGTGTGTGTGTGTCCATTTTTTCCTATTTTACAACCATACTGCCAACCACTACCCAGCCTTCCTTCAAGCAACGCCTCTGTCCCCGCCCCTCCCCTCCGTGCCCCTCTCTCCACTCCGTCGGTGCGTGCGTGGGGTCTGCGATTTCTCGGGACTCGCCATGACGCGCCGCTGACCCTGCCGTGCGTTACAGCGTGGTGAGACCGTGCCCGTGCCACGACCGTGTAGTGACCGTGTAGTGAACGCACCGCTGACCGCGCCATTGATCGTGCCAATCCCTGTGGCATTGGATATAGCTGTTAGCCTGGTCACACTAAGCCGCTGACGGCACCTGTGACCGTGCCGACTGTAGCATTGGTTGTGCCAACGACCTTGACCTTGACCGACCTTGAACGTGCCCGCGACCAGGACGATGCCTGCAAGCGTTCCTGCAAGGTTTATTTTTCGTCCCCTCGCTTGTTCCCGCGCCAATAACCATGTCAACGATTGCAGCAGTTTCCGTCCTCGGCCCCGTCACCGTTACTGTTCCATCTCCAGTTTGTGTGCCCGTCCCGGCTCCTGTGTCAGCTCCCGTGCCCGCGGCTTTGTCAGCTCACGCGCCCGCTCCTGTATCAGCTCACGCGCCCGCTCCTGTGCCAGCTCCTGTGCCAGCTCCCGTGCCAGCTCCTGTGCCCGTTGCTGTGCCAGAACCGACGCCAGTTCTCGTGCCCGTGCCCATGCCCGTGAGCCTGAGCTCGGCCGCGTGTCCGCCAGCTGGAGGACGAGTACAGCGTGGTGCTGACGCTGACGGACGGGCGGCTGGGCGAGGCCGTCGTCACGCAGTCCCTGCTCGTGCTCGTCGAGGACGTCAACGACAACAGCCCGCTCTTCGTGCCGCACGAGCCGACGCTGACCGTAGCCGAGGATGCCGCGCCGCGCGTGCTCGCCGTCCTCCAGGCTACCGATCGGGATGAGGGTCCGTTTGGTCAGGTCAGTGACGATCCGTTCAGGCGGGCCGGTGCGGGGATGTGGGTCCGTTCGGCCAGGTCACTACAGGGACCAGGGTTCGTTCGGCCAGATCAGTGGGAGGACAAGGGTCTTCTCGGTCAGGTCAGTGTAGTAGCGGTCCATTTGGCCTGGTGACTGTAAGAGTGAGGGCCGTTCGGTCAGGAATGTGTTGGGTGCAAGCTTCGAACACGCATGACGTTTGGTGCTGTATAATAGGGGATAAATGAGGCAGTGGCACAGTGTTCGGCAGTTTGAGTTGTGACAACAACAAAATTTGGAATCGAATAACTTAAGGATATTGCCATAACCAATCATGTGAATGCATGTTAACGATGTAGGACCACGGTTAAATATAGAGAACGTCACGAGCCAGTCGGGCAGCGACTCCAACATCATAAAGATGTTCTATGACGTAATCAAACTATGGCGTATTGATGAACATGCTTACTGAATAGTGAAATTGTATTGGCCCTAGTAGTCTTTTACATTTCAAAGGAAGCCAATAGCTACAAGTGAACTTACTTCGTCATGTCTGGTGCCTGCCCCAAGATCTCCATCCGTGGAACATTCCCTTTAAGCAAGCTTACTGCCAACCCACACATCTCTCCATCCTCCTGGGAGAGTAAAGCTCCGTCCTCGTTCGTTCACGCAACAACTCAAAGGAAGTCAACGCCATCTACCTGCCAGTACTATACCCACTAACGACATCTGTTGGTATGCCGTGCAGGTCGTGTATCGACTGGTGGCCGAGTCAAGCGCCGATAGTGAGCTGTTCTCGGTGAGCACCCAGGAGGGACGGGCTGTGCTGAGGCTGGAGGGTGCACTCGACTACGAGCGTCAGCCCTTCTACCAGCTGCAAGTGCTGGCAGTGGATAGGGCGGCAATCAACGCTCACACAGGTCAGCGGTAGATGGCAGCACTTTGTAAACTGTGTCCAGATCTCGCACGATGATGGTGATATGTGAGTGGCTTCCACACCTCCAATTCAGTAGGGTTTTTAAATATTCTTATTCCTCATTTACTCATTCATTCAAAGTGCTTGCAACGCCGCCAATCGACAGACCGTCAACGGTACGTCAATCCTAGTCTGTTTGAAGTCAGCTGCGGTCGTCAGCCACGGGCCAACCTAATGGCGTCCTGACCAGAGCCCTGCCCGAACGCCCGGACAAAACCCCAACAGAGCGCTCGTGTGGAGGGGGGGGGGGGGGGGGGGGCATGGCTCGGCGGCGGCTGTCTTCTACATCGCCACAGACCACCCACTGCTCTACTTAATCCCTTAGCCCTAAAATAGTCATTTGTGACCGAATGTACTTTAATCCAGTCCATTACATACGTGATGTTATAAAGACCGATTCGTTCCTTCTCTTGGACCCTATTAGAAATCATCACGTCACCCTGGATAATGGAGGAACCCAACATTACTGACTGTCTCTCTCCGCTGACCATTAGCACGGCAGCCTGTGACCAGAAGCTTAGCAAGGGGCTTTGCCAGCTTTCCCGCACCCCAGACAGGTCTATGTAAGGCCTCTTTCCTCTCGTGTCGCTCGTGCGACGTGTCGTCTGACGTGTAGCCGCGACCTTGGCATTACTCCAGGCTCTTGTATGTGAACGAACTTTGTATTTGACCTTGCTCCTTTCGGGTGGTAAGTGCCATTTATTGCTTTGACCGGGAGCCCAGCAATGTTAACCTGTCATTGTGTTCTGCTTTGGGCGTTTCTTGCGATGCCACCAATGTACGTACGTGTAGTACGTGTTTCGTGTACTATGTGTTGTACGTGTTTCGTGTTACGTGTACGTGTGGTAAGTACGTGTTTCGTGTTACGTGTACGTGTGGTAAGTACGTGTTTCACTTGACGATGAGCACGCCAAGTGGCATTGTTCATTTCGGATCGTGTAAGTTGCTTTGTTTAACAAAACCTTTAACATGTGATGTCAACCCTGACGTATGGCAGTAACTACTTCACATGACCTTGACCCCTGCGCTTGTCTCCGACCTGCAGCCACGGCGGCGGTAGTGGTGCGAGTGGAGGATGTTGCCGATAGTCCGCCAGAGTTCGTGGTGGTGCCGCCCGTCACACGCATTCCAGAAGATCTTCCAGTGAAATCCCAGGTCATGCAAGGTCAGCATCGCTGTGTTTATGACATCATGAGGGATGTGCAAGGGAAAACAGTGGGGTGGGGGGGGGGGGTGGGGGTGGAAAAAAGAGTTTAAAAAAAATGTTATGATTGGTCTGTTCCATATTTGATTTGATTTTGATTTGATTTGATCTCTTCTATAAAAGAATCCCATAAAAGTATGGCTAAAATATGCCCGTCTATTCTACGAATGCTGACATGTTGTATCCATCGGTCATTGGTGTATGTTATTGAATTTAGAGTCAGTATGGTCCTTCGTCAAACTGGACTAGTGATGAAGTATGGGAACGGATTTTAAAATATTCTGGAAGTGGTGGCAAAATATGGAACCACCTTTTGTAGAATGTGCACTCCAATTTCGTTTACTCATGTCTGGTGTTTTTGATGATCATAAGTCCTGCTTATGCCATCAGACACCCCACCTCCCCAACCCCCCCCCCCCCCCACCCCCGGACGACCCATACAGTTGCTGAACATATTGAACATCGAATAGAGGTGAACTCGATCAATGCAGATTTCCCCTGTCATTTAGGCACATGCCTGATATATCCTTACGCGTGTATGTTGGGTCAGCTCTGACTGTTCTCACTGGTTCCCAGTGATGGCCATCGATGGAGACCGAGGAGTGAACGCGCCAATAGAGTACGCCCTGTTCGGCGGCGGCGACAGCTTCGAGATCGACGCCGCTAGTGGCGGCCGTCTATGTGGCGGGCGAGCTGGACCGGGAGAAGCGCATCGAGACCAATGGCGCCTTCATCCTCACCATCGGGGTGAGTTTCACAGCCTGCGTATGAACACAAGCTTTTGAAGAAGTTGTGTACCTATGCGTCACTTGGGCACATATTGAAAAAAATGTGGCTTATGCAAAATATATGCAGTCTCCGCAGGCAGATCAGTCCATGGTGGAGTCAAGCCTTGCCCTCCCCCCAATTTTTTTTAAAGTGCCTCGTGCCAAACTCAGAATACTTGCCGGACCTCCTTTCGTAATCATGTGTCATGTTACGGATGCAAGGAGAACACGGGGGTATCTATCAGTATCTGCAGTATCTATGCTACCCATGATTTTTTTTGTATGTACTGATCAACCAAAGTCATTGACTTCCCCTAATTGCGATGTGATGGCGGTTGACTGTTCGGAAGCACGGAAGTTTTTGTAACACTTAATTGCTAACAAGTTAAAAAGCATGATAGAAATATATTTTCACTGTGTGCCCCTTACAGGCCTGAGCCTTTGACTGTGCCTCCATCGAACTCTCACCAATCCTTACTCCTTCTGACCCCTGTGCCTCACTCTCACTCCCCCGGGCCTCGCATTGGCTACACTCTGCCTCACCTTGACTCCCCTCTGCCTCACCCTGACTCCGCCACTGCGACAGGCGCGCGAGGCCGGCTCTGACGCAGAGCACGTGACCACGGAGGCCACCGTCATCCTGACTGACGTCAACGACGAGCGGCCCACCTTCCGCAGCGCCACCTATACAGCCGAGGTCAGCGAGTCGGCGCAACGCCATCTACCGGTGACCCTGCTCGGCCCGGCCCGGCCCCAGGTGTACGACTACGACCAGGTGAGCCGGCGGCGGCATAGCGGGGCGGCAGGGCTAAAGAAAAATGTTTCCCGCGTCTGCTACAGCGGCTGCTGCCAGGACACTGACCGCTGACTCCGGTGTGACAAGTTGGATGCTGCGATTTTCCTTCTAGATTCGTTTTGGTGGGAGTGATGTGCTGCATTATTCGTTCGAATCGCGTCTTGTTGCTCATTTGGGGCGGGAGATGAGCGTGGTTGAGCATGCTCGTCATCCGGTTTGATGAAAAACGCCTTTTCTTCCGCTGCTTGCATTCGTATCTCACATTATTCGGAGCGCCTCCGCACCATTTAAAGACATGAGACATGTCTGCGACTTCTGTTAACACGTGCCCGGGTGACCGGCTGAATACCCTTCACCCGAGTGGGGGTCAATTTGCCCCCCCCCCCACCCCGAGATCTCAGAAACTAAGATGGCTAGGGGCACCAAATTCTCAGCGTAGTTTGATCTGCACATGGGCTTACTTTGTAAGAAGTTTAACGTTCCCATATTATTACCCTGGTAGCAATAAGGCCAAACTAGGGCAAACTACATATTTGTGTTTCAAGTGTCCCCAGACATTCTCATGCAGCCACTGTGAAGTTAGATACCTGTCTTAAGCAAAAGATCAATGAGGTAAGAAATCCATTTTTACCTCTATAAGGTTAGGGTGGCAAAATATCCACGAGAATACGTCTATTCTGTCATTTGAATATTCGTCTGGGCTTATGCTAGGCGGTATGCTCCTAAAAACAGAACGCTGACCTCAGTCATTTTAGGTCAGTGACCTACTCTGACCTTAAAAGGAATGGAACATCTCTGCTGCCGTCCCTGTCGTTAATTAATTCAAAATGAGCACCAGAAACTACTCAAAAGACAAGCACTCGAATAAAAAGGAGGTCAGCTTTGACCTCGTTTTGACCTTTAAATCTAACCATAGGCCAGTGGCACTGGTCGTAGTTCTCAGGCCAATTGGTTTGTGGCCCAATAAACTCTCTCAGACATGTGTGGCTTCGTCTAGCACTCCATTCGATGACGCCACTCCCAGTCGAGAATCAGACCCAGACCAATATGGGCCCCATGTCAGTTCTCCTCAGGGAAGTGCTCATCGCCACCAGCTGGGCTATCGCGCTGCTTTCCTCAGGGCACCAACGGCACGTTCCGGATGTACTTGGAGGGTGACGGCGGTATCTTCGAGGTCACGCCGCCCGAGGGCGTAAATGAAGCGACCTTTCTCATCCGCGTGCGTGACCCCGCCGGGCTCGACTTCGAGAAAGTCAAAGGTCAGTGCTGTCGGGGGGTAAATGGGGGATCTTTGGCCCATGAATGTTTGTGGGTTATCGTAAGGTATTCGTGCGACGTGTCTTTGGCCGATGCTTGATGGTGTGCTTCAGAAAGCTTCAGCATTTAAATTTACTGCGCTGCACCCAGTGTGTAGTGTGTAAACTCAGTGTGTGAGGCGAGTGTGAAGCCAAGACCGATAGCGATAAACGATGTCGTAAGACACCTATCCGGCAAACATCAGACCCTTTGAAACAATGCGGCGACACCAATGAGATAAACTGGTGCAAGTGCAAAGGCGGCGACCCACCGGCGGACCACCGATCAAGTGTAGACGAAACATTCCGTGTCTTGGCTTGAGGCAAACGAAATTGACTCAAACGCAGCACTGGCCAGCCTATAGTATGTAGTGGACTATAGCACGTACAGGCCCCAAGCTAGAAAAACCTGCAGACTTTTTCTCCGGTTGTGAACTGCACTGCGTGAGTGTATTCCTTTGCCATGTTCTTTTTCCGTTTTGCTGATCAAAGTTTAGCGTCAAGTCAGGCGCTAACATCATCGTCATAGCATCATCATCATCAGCAGCATCATCATCGTCATAACAACATCGCAGCGGGCGTGCGTGCCAGACCGCCTCCCACTCTGACCGCGCTCGGCGCCGATGTCTGTCGCCCTCGACAGAGCTCAACTTCAGCGTTGTGGCCGAGGAGGTGACCGCGGTCGGGGGCCAGTCATCTCGAGCCCACGTCACGCTGTATGTGCGGGACGCCAACGACAACGTGCCAGAGTTCGCCGAGACGCGCTACGTGGTGAGTTCAACGCGAGCGTTGTGACCTTGATGTGACCTTTACCTCTGCGAGCTGGTGACATCGGTACGGGGTAGCATCGAGTAGTGTTGAAGCAGGTTTGTTGCACTCGAAGCTCTACGATTAGCCTTAAGTTGCACCGGAATTTGCATTTCGTGGTAAATCGCTCTCATATTAACGGCATCGACTATCAAGGCCAATATTCTCCTCACTGATGCAGCTGCTCACTTCCTGCAACAGAGACCCGTGATGTGGTAGCGATATGCTTTCTTTAGCGGATGTTCCCGCGCATGCGTGAACGGTGCAGAGTTCATCATATTGTTGAGCATTTCTGATCTTCACGAAACGTTCTTCTTGTTGTTCCGTCTATACCCTGCCGCGTATCCGTATCTGCCTTATTGATCTGACCCGAGGCCCCGACTTGACCCGCCGCTTTCCCGCAGGCCTCCGTGCCGGAGAACGTGCGGCGGGGGACGTTGGTGGCGTGGATGCAGGCCCTGGACCCGGACTCTGGCGCGTTCGGGACGGACGGTGTCCGGTTCACCGGTCTGACGGGAGACATCGCCCAGCAGTGAGTGGACCCCGTCAGCAGCACGACGTCCAGCACGTGTGCGGCACTGAGACAAGAGTCTGGACTCTGGAGGCTGGAAGCATGTGCACAGCTCCGTTCAGCTATTTCTCGGAGATGCCGGCCGAATGTCCGTGGACAGATCTCGCTTCAGGTACTCGCTGTAGTTTCTGAGAACTTGCCGTAGCCTTTGACGTCCACACCAGTCTGTAGCTGTTCGCCATCAGTCCGAATGACTCTGACCAGAGTCACTGAGTCATGTTCCGTAAACCGCGGCCGTCATCCCACTCCATGGCTCATATGCTGCCTGCAGTCTGCGGCTGGACCCCGTGACGGGCAAGATCACCATGGCAACGGACGACCACGGCCTTGACCGTGAGACGACGCCGCGTCACCAGCTGACGGTGGAGGCGCGCGACGACGACGGCCGGGGCAACAGGTCAGCCGCCGGCGCGTGACCTGAGTGACCTTGACCCTGGTAGTATTACAGATGGGATCAATGCTCAGGCTCTCGGCCTCGTCTGGTGCGTTAGTATGCACCACTAGCACTGCGTCCATATTAACACGGCAGGCACGATAATTGTCCAAACGATTACCCTTTCCGCGACCTTGACCTTTGAACGGGGTCTGGGGGGCAGAGGAAGGCGTCTTTCTACTGTCCGTCTGCTCCGGGTATGAATGGTGGCCAGCGTGGTCTGCAGTGCTCTGTTTACTCAACAGAGCTCTGTGCGTAATTCAGCACATTAGCTCCGAGATAACCTGAGTGTCAACGCGTGCGAACTCAGGAGGGGACCCAAGAACAAAACAGTAGCCAGTACATCACCTCAGACTTGACTCCCGTATGTGCTGCGCCGGAATGCTGAAAAAAGCGCTGCACGACAAGCCTGCCGGGAGAGCTTCTTCAGCAGCATTCAGCTTCCGTCAGCACCTCCAAACTTGTCTAATCTCCGCACGTGAGGGCATGTCGTGGCCGCCTCCTCTCAAACCGGCCCCGGTCGCGGCCACAGGAACCGCGTGCCTCTGGAGCTGGTGGTGACGGACGTCAACGACCGTGCCCCGCGCTGCCTCCGACCGCTGTACCAGCTGACCGTGCCCGAGAACAGCCGGCGCCTGCCGCCGGCGCACCTTCTGGAGGCGGCCGATGACGACCAGCCCGGTGAGGTCCCAGCTGCCGCGGCGTTTGGCGAGCGGACGAGGCTCAAAGTTGGCGTTTTATTTTGCTTTGTTTTATTTTGAGCGTAAGTGTTGGCTTATTTTGAGTCTACGTGTACCAGCAGTTTTATTTTGAGCCTAAGTGTCGTTCAGTTACCGATCGAAAGCAGCTATGTTTGCTGGGCCACAGCTATACTTTCAGGACATATCAGCATTACAAGAGCAAAGCTTTGACCTCCAGAACATGCAAATGGTAAATAAAGGGTATTGTATGCATGCTTCCAAAACGGTAGTTGACTGTAATGCGTGTCATTCGGGTTCCCGTTCGAATAAATGCTGAACAACGATGATATCTCCACCTGGCGGGATTGGGGGAAGGACATTGCAGTTAAAACATTTGGAACTGACTAGGCCTGCATATAGTTTCGACCTTTCCGTGACAAAATTAAATGCATTTTATTCTATTCTGGACAGGATTTCATTTCAAACGTTTTCAGCTGCAGTCACTGACATGATGATCTGTGATATCCATGGTGGATATTCCAGGTCCATTCCCTGCGAGCCTGATTGGTGTGATGCTAGCTTTCAGTAGTATGTTGAGGGAGCCGCCCACTCGTTCTCTGCAGGCGCCACCCCCGACCTTAACATGCTACCCTCGCCACAGGCACCCCGAACGCGGAGGTCGGTTTTCGCATCCTGGCGGGCGACCCACAGAGGAACTTCAGCATAGATGGCAGCACCGGCGAACTGCACCTACAGCGCCCTCTAGACTTCGAGGCCATGTATGGCGACGGAGACATCCGCACCATCAACCTCACCATCCAGGTCTTCGACAAAGGTATGGGGGGGCTCAGCACACGTGATGCCTAAAACGCCGTGATTATTTCCGTCTTGTTCCAGGATCCCCGCTGTCGACCGGGCCCCAGTCCGCGCTGCTGGCGCCTCAACGCCGTGTCGACGCCTATTCATGTTGTGTGGTGTGGGAGCTCTATGGAGATCACACACTACTGCCGGTGCGGATATTTGTTAAAATTCATCGCCGCGCTCCTCGCCTGGCGTTTTCTGGCGCCGGGTATAAACACCATTTCTTCTGTTTATATCGGACGGGATTAGTCCGCTAGGTTCTTTCAGGGGCTGAGCAAGCAGACTCGCCCAGACCTCTGTCAAAGCTGGAGCCAAAGCTGGAAACTCGGAGGTGGCGAAGCGGAAGGGACTGTGATTCTTACATGAACCTATCAGAGCTGTGCCCTGGCGCGCTTAAAGAATGCCGAGAAGAGTTGATGCGGCGGAACTGCTAGTACAAATAACACTGGGGGGAGGGGGGCTGAGCCCCTATGCTGACTTGAGCGCTTCTGTGCTTTTCTGAGAACCCCGTTGCATATGAACAAAAAGGGAATGCTAGTCCAAGGAAATGCGGCAAGCGTCAAAACTGCTCGTACGCTAGGTCCCAAATTTGTCATAAGTCCTGTTATTAAATTAAATTTGATAATTAAGTCATAAGTCCTGTTATTAAATTAAATTTGATAATTAAGTCATAAGTCCTGTTATTAATTAAATTTGATGTATGGTGTCAGTATCACCATACATCATTGTCACTATCACAACGGGTTCGAATTGAACGTTACTCATGAACATAAACACAGTTTTGAAACAAACCAACACATGTTTGCATTTTAACGTCTGGGACGGAAATCAAAGTAGCTGAAATTTCTGGGGAGGAATGAGGAGTTTAAGGTGGGCCAGTTCAACTGCACTGGCTCAGTCCGCCAACCGACTGTAGAAAACGACCCTTGCTTCTTTTGCAGAATGTTCAAACTAGGCCAGTTAAGGTCCAAATTCACATCAGCCACACTGCATTCGACACCAGTGCTATTGTGGAAGGATAGACGTTATCGTGTCCATATGCATCAGGGGGCGTGGCCACGTCCATGTTAATGTTCATGTCCATGGTCCTGTCCATGCCCAGGGTCATGTTCATGTCCATGTCCGTGGTCGTGTCCATGTCCCTGGTCGTGGCTATGTCCGTGGTCGTGTCCAAGGCTACAGAAACAAACATGGTCGTGCCCTTGTGCGGCGTAGTGTCCACAGGTGGTACCTGGCCGCGGCAGACGAAACGATTCTGACTGCAAAATGTCAAGATTTTGCATGGAAAAGTGCATCTATCACGGACGCTTTCGGAATACAGCTGAATAGTGTTGTCATGTAATTATATGTTGTTGTCATATAATTATTTGTTATCATAATTACAGCCTTCCGATCTTGGACATAATTTTCTACAGATTTCGGTTTCCCTCGGGGCTGTGCCAAAGACATTTTTGTCTTCACTGCACCTTTTGCTCTGGCGATTTTAAACACCGCAACACAAATAGTCGCCTTTACGTACTGCCGGGCGCGTTGGTTCGAGTCTGATTAGTTCTCGTGTTGGCCGCCAGGGGAGCCGCCGCTCTCCTCCACATGCCTGGTTCAGGTGCTGGTGCAAGACGTCAACGACGTGGCTCCGAGGTTCGAACGGACTGTCTACGTCAAGGCCGTGTCGGAAGACGCGCCTGGCGGCACCCACGTCATCCAGGTCGGTGTCGAGGCAGATGTCATGTGGACCAGTTCGGGAACCACTCAGACCAGTTGGACAATTGGTCAGGTCATAGCGCGAACTGGTTTAGCCACGGCTGGAGTAACTGCCATTCACTGAATGATATAACTCAGTAGTGGCTCGGTGCTTCAGTCCGTACGGTGGTCGCACCTCAGATGGACCGTTATTATTTTCTCTGTTTTTTTTTTACCCACAGAACCGAAAAATACACATTGTATGTTTATATTTGTAACTTATACCGATTTGCATCGCCTGTTGGGCTTGCGGCTGGTCACAATTTAGCTCCGGCGCTTATTTCATGATTACCAATGAAGCTTTATAAAACCTTAGCATGTAGGGAAAAATGCGTTTGGCTGTGTTTTCTTGTGTTTACTTGTAATGACGTGTGCGAATTCACAATAATAGTAACTGTATTACTAGAATTATAAATGACCTAGCCTGGTAACTTTGTGTTTGATTACATATGTCAATACATGCCATACTTTCGTCAGGGGCTGTAGCTCAAGTGGTAGAGCGCTCGCTTAGCATGTGAGAGGTACGGGGATCGATACCCCGCAGCTCCAGGCTTTTCGCTTGCAAGAGCGGTTTTCTCTTCGACCTTTTGGGCATTCGCTATTGATACTTGGTTTGGGTGACTTCGGAAGCACATGTGGCAACGATGCCTGCTTTCCCACATACGTCCATCAGCATTTTTTTTCCTATGGACGGAACGAATAACGGACATAGGAACACACGGATGTTGACACGATTCAAACGTGCATATGATCCGGCAACAATTGGAAGAACACATCCAGCAACCACAGCCGAACCAGCAAAGCAGGTTCGGTTGTGGTTTATGGCCACCTTTCGAATTCATTGCCTTGCCATAATTCATAAATGCTTCCTTGAGTACTTCAAGTGCAATTGCTGGAGGGCCGGAGATTATCTGAGTTTATATGGGAGGGCGGTTTATAGAGGACGGCCATTGCGGACAACAAAAGAGGAAAAACAGGTCATTAGTTGCTTTTTTGGACGTTAATAGCGCGGTTGTCGGTCGGATATTGCTGTGCCCGCTCTAAAATCGCAGCTATTGCTTTGTAGTCGGCACATGCACCAACTTGGCACCTGGTTTCATGTCTTCATTTTTTGTGGTCACTGGGATCAGACCTAAATTCTGTGCTACATGTTCAAAGTTCATATTTTAAGTTTACGACATGCAAGAGACCAGGAGGCACTGGCTACTAGCCATAACCTCTTTTGAAACGATGTCATAGTGTGAAACAACGACTGTGTCGGTGGTACTCAATGGGATGAGTGCAGCTCGAAATAGGGAATTGAGTGCCGCTGAGCAAATCGCTCTAAACTGCTTGGAATGTTTAGCCAGTAACTCCTGGTTTATTGGAGGTCTGTAACTCAGTATAGAAACTTTGACGAAAACCAGGAGCAGATGGTCTTTCTTTCTTATATCAAGTTAAGTTCTTTAAATCCTAAGACCGATACATAAACGCCTTGTGCTATCGTGCTATCGTGACAGGCTGCCCACATCAGCCCAGACCTGTGACAGTAAATTTTCCTGTTCTCTTTTTGTCAAGCAGAGTTAGTATTGTATACTTTCAACCCAGGTTGCCAAATCAGAATCAATTTCTATTCAAGTTCATCAATTTTTTGGCAGCTGTCTCATTTTACGTTTTCCATACTAGTAAAATAAGAATGTTTGCTAGCGGTATCGCAATGTTGCGGGAAATTTACAACTGTTCATAAAGCTTGTGGTCTGTAGTCAATGGGCCATGACCTTTCTCCTTAGCCCTTGCCTTATTGTCCTGACCGATGGCCTTGGCCTTACATCTGCAAACATCTGACCTTTGCATGCAGGTGTATGCAAATAACCTTGACCTGTGGCATTGAGCCTACAGGTGACAGTATGACATCTTGACTTGTGATCTTGACCCTGAAGTTACCAGGACGTGATTTTGACCTGTGATCTTGATCCCGCCCTATGAGCTCGCGATTTTGACCTGTGACCTTGACCCCGCAGGTGTCGGCACGTGACGGAGACGGCTCGTACCAGAACAGTCGCGTCGTGTACCGTATCCAGCATGGAGCCCAGGACAAGTTCGTCATCAACTCCACCACTGGCGTCATCACCGTCGCTCAGGTCTGGACGCTTATGCGGAAGGAAAAGGGCAAATGCTCCGCACCAAACTTTCGAGATAGAACAGCTACGTCTCAAGGAGCAAAATTGGCTGCTTAGTTGTAACCAATCATCACAGATGTCGCGCTGTTCGCTTCATGCCTAGAACGCTTCCTGTCGTTCGGAACAAGCGGGTTGACTGATAAGTCGAATCGTGAGTGCATGAGTGCGTTTTTAAACCCCCTCGATGAAGGTCTGTGTCGTTTATAGCCCTCCGAGGGGGTTTGTGTCGTTTGGGGAGTGTGTTTCCCGCCCATTTGGCTACCCCTTTGCGACCATTGGTGAGATCTGACGCTAACAACTCGTCAAAGGAAGTGTTCCACATTTAGATGGGGTTTTAAACTGAAATAGCCACTTTGAAGACCTTTCGGTGCTGTCCACAATCCTGTTTTTCTCAAGACCTAAGCCTTTTTGGTTTCTGAGCTACACAACCGCAAAAGAATGGGGAAGCTATATCGGGGAGAGTAGTTGAAGGTCACCCTGGCATTCATGACGTCATGATAACGTTATTCAAAGCCTGTCACTCCATAAGCCATGCAGCGATCAAAGCCAACAAGAAAAATTACAATTCTCGAGGCATTTATAGCTGGTGTTCGTGAGCGCACTTTCCAGATATAACGTCCGTCAATTGGCTCCCAATCAATGTTATGCAAGATACGATCACTCAATCAAACCATGGCGCATTGAGGAACATGTTAACTGAACAGAGAATCGTGTTGTCTAGAGCAGTCTTTTCCATCTAAAAAGTATACGGATAGGTATCAGCGCACTTGTCTCATGATATCTGATGTTTGCTTCAATATCTTTAAATGTGAAACATTCGCTTTAAACACATTAGAACCAGCCGGACATGCCCACTACGCGCTCTCGAAACTTTTTTCTCCATGTACCTACCTACATCCCGTTTACATTCTGAGTTCTGAGAGCCCTTCACCACGGCCATCACCTACACGCATCTATCTACAGCTACCAGCGCCCCTGCAGAGCCCTCGCCCGCGGTGAGAACAGATATAGCTTCTTCTAAATCTATGGCTTCTCCCTACATTGTCATTCATGACATGGATATCGACTACGGATCACCGGGCTCTCTGCTGTGCGGCGCGTGAGTGTGAGTCGCGGTGACCGTTTCGCAGGGGGCCAACCTGGACCCGGACTTCAGTCGCCCCCGGGCGGCCCACTTCGAGCTTACGGTGGCGGCGCTAGATGGCGGAATCGGCGCCAACCAACTGGTAGATGTCGCCACCGTCAACATTACCATCCAGGACGTCAATAACAAGCTACCTGCGTGAGTAAACGATGGGTTAGAACTGTATTATATCGCCGTCTGTCTTTTGACCCAGCTTCGGGCGTTAACATGTCGCTTATGGGATAAAGAGGGGTTGCCGTGAACTACCCCGCCCAATATGGGATCCGCAATGCGCAGGGGCCTGCTTGACGTTCTTTTGCAAGTAGTATGTGAGCCGTTGTGATCACGGTGATTACATTATCACTGACTAGAATGACAACAACCATGCGCTTTGATGACGTGCAACAAAACCTAGTGACTGCATCATTCCTGCTTCCCATCGTCGCGTGCTTTTTAAATGCGTGGCGCCCAGGCGTTCACGTCTCAGATGTGTGTTTCCGTGTGCACGGCACAGTCTTCCTCATTCTGTCAATAGTTCTACTAACCGCCATTTCAGTCAGTTTTCCTGGTACAATGTCTTCCAGCCTTTTTTCAGTCCATCTTCCTTGTTCTATCTCGTCCAGCCAAGGTTCAGTCTGACCCGCTCGGTCAACCTCGCCCAGCCGTGCTTTGCTCTGTCTCCGCGGCGCCGTCGTCCCCAGCCGCGGCTCAGTGCGCCCCTCTCACCTACCGGCGTCTGTGCTTCAGGTTCGTGGAGCCGGGCCTGGTGGCGATCCCGGAGAACCTTCGCGTCGGCTCCGTCGTCCGCCGGGTGGCGGCCGTCGACATGGACGCCATCCCTCTCCTGCGATACAGGTGCGCTGACTTGCAGGGGCGGAGTCAGCATACGATCTCGGGGCTGTGATCTGCGGGGGCAGAGTCAGCATACGATCTCGGGGCGGTGGTCTGCAGGGGCGGAGTCAGCATACAATCCTGGGGCGGTGAACTGCAGGGGCGGAGTCAGCACACGATCTTGGGATGGACACAGTCTGTCTTAAGACCCGGTCTCAAATGCGATGCCAATCGCACGAAAGGCAAGAAAAATTATCACAAGGCTCCACCCTTGGTGATCTAAGCACGTGTTGATGCGGCCCGACAGCTTGCTTATGAATACATCCTGATGTTTGCGTGACCTCTGCTCAACTCCTCTGACCGAAAAGGAAATGGAGAGTCATTATTGGTGGGTGTCATCTCTTCCCGTGTTCGGCTGATGGTGCTCTGTATCTCGTCGTGTCCCGCTGACCGCGCGTTATTGCTCTCCAGCATCGACCACAGTCTAGGGGAGGCACGCAACGAGGAGGGCACGCTGGTGCGGGCATCGGACTACAACTTTACGGCGGCCTTCCAGATCCATCCGATCGAGGGAGTCATACGCACCGCCAGGTAACCATGGCGACGGAAAATCCCTATATGCTGCGTGGGCGGAGTGGCATTCGTACTGTTTGGTCCCCAGCCAATCATGGCAGCGGAAAATTACAAATAAACCGATAGCGTATGCAGCTAAAGTGCGTAATCGATACGCATGCAACTGACAAAACAATCAGCTTTCAAAACCGACTAGCGGATATTTGCGTTATCGAAATCATTGAAGTACCTCGAGTAACCGATTATTGCGGTTGCCTTCATTGTGAAAAATCGTAAGTTTGTTACAACTGGAGCGTCAGCGAACCACATTCCTGCCTCACATAGATGTGGCATTAACGTCGCATTTTGCGTATGTCAAATTTGGCGTTAACGTCTGGAAACGAAACAAGCAAGTAGATCTGGGCGACGCGGGCGTAATGGCCCAGGGGTTGGCGCCTTCCGCTCCCAAGTGGGGGCCCCGGGTTTCAGTCCCGGTTGCGCTGTGGCCGCTGAGCGCTACTATGGCCGCTGCAGACCCTGGCGCCCCATAATAGGTTGCGCTATAAGGTATATCATGCACCTTTTTACAACATTTATTTTAGCGAGGCGATACCATGCCATATATCAGCGAGCACTTAAAAGACACGGTGCATAGTTAATTTTTACGTATCAACGGTAGTGCATGGCTGGGGAGAACATGTCTGTGTGTTTCTATTGCTCTGTTTTGTCTTGGTCTATTACATGAGCGACTCATTTTGCTTCTTAAATATCGACAGTGGTCCCATACTTCGCATGGAATTGCACACCATCATGTCAATGAGCCGTGTGAATGGTGCATACAGCTACATAAAACTCCACCAAGATGACCCGGTCGGATGTTCTCGCACACGCTGGACCAGCCCGGGCTGGTCGGCCGGCCGCGAGCAGCTGTTTGACCTGAGGTCACACTGGGCCGGCAGGACGCTGGACAGGGAGCGGGTGGAGACAATCCGCCTGGTGCTGCGAGTGGAGGACCTGGCGGCCATGAACTCGCGCCAGACGGCCACAGGTGAGCACAGCGGAACAGAGCCCCCCTGGCGCTGGGACCACCCGAGAACGGGACAGAGCTAGGAGTGGAGGACCTGGCGGCCATGAACTCGCGCCAGACGGCCACAGGTGGGCACGGCGGAACAGAGCCCCTCTGGCGCTGGGACCACCCGAGAACGGGACAGAGCTGGGAGTACGCGGCAGAGAACCGGACAGCTGGGAGTGCGCGGCAGAGAACCGGACAGAGCTGGGAACATGCGGCAGAGAACGGGACAGAGCTGGGAGTGCGCGGTGGAGAACCGGACAGAGCTGGGAGAACGCGACAGAGAACAGGACAGAGCTGGGAGTGCGCGACAGAGAACAGGACACAGCTGCGAGAACGCGACAGGAACAGGACAGAGCTGGGAGTAAGCGGCAGAGAACAGGACAGAGCTGGGAGTAAGCGGCAGAGAACAGGACAGAGCTGGGAGTGCGCGGCAGAGAACAGGACACAGCTGCGAGAACGCGACAGGAACAGGACAGAGCTGGGAGTAAGCGGCAGAGAACAGGACAGAGCTGGGAGTGCGCGGCAGAGAACAGGACACAGCTGCGAGAACGCGACAGGAACAGGACAGAGCTGGGAGTAAGCGGCAGAGGACAGTACAGAGCTGGGAGTAAGTGGCAGAGGACAGGACAGAGCTGGGAGTGCGCGGCAGAGAACAGGACAGAGCTGGGAGTGCGCGGCAGAGAACAGGACGGAGCTGGGAGTGCGCGGCAGAGAACAGGACAGAGCTGGGAGTGCGCGGCAGAGAACAGGACAGAGCTGGGAGTGCGCGGCAGAGAACAGATTGTCAGCGAATGGTCTGATGACGATTGTTTTCTCAGCCTGTCTGGCGGCAGCCACTCGGGATGGCACGCATACGTGTCTGGTTCAGATGGCGGGCAGACACAAGCAACTGCAGGGACTAGGGAACAGCGGAGAGAATACCGG